CGTGCAACCAAAGCTTTCTCCAGCAAGAATAACTCTCGGGGAAGGTAATTGCGAGCCCCGAGGCCCCAAGCTGCATGGAAACATGAAAGGCGCGGAAGTCCAAACTCAGAAATCTGCCTTCATGGCTATCACATGGCGAAGCTCCCGGATCTCACCCTCCTTGTGCATAAGGAGGTCCTGATTTGTGCAAACTCGGCTTGGTCACGCAAAATCAGGATGGCTTGCTGCAACTCACCGGTGATCGGCTCTAACGTGAAATGAATTTTGCACAAGACATTCAGAACCCTGCGGCCTGAAGATCTTGAACCTGCAGATCCTGGTACGAACGAAGCAAAGTGGAGCAGCCTCCGCACAGAAATGCAGTCTTCCTCTTTCTTGCAACTTGAGCCCACGTTCAATCACACGGCACTTCCTCCTGCAAGTTTATGAGCTTTCCTGATTTGGTCATAGCACTACTGTGATACTCATGTCATGCAGACCTTGTCTCTCCTCCTTTTCTGGAGGACCAGGCGCTGCTGTTCGCTCCGCTGCTGACCTCAGTGAGCAAAAATTGGAGGATTCTAATACTATCTCAGCTATTGGGATCCCATAAAACAGGATCCCCGTGTCTTTGGGGTGTGACTGACGCCTGAACTTCGAGAAACAGCAAAACGGACATGCTGTGATGAGCGGCACGTGAAGTTGTGAAGAAGTGCCTAGTCATTGACGGCTTACCCCAGCGTGGGCACATTGAGGACAATGCCCTTCTGACTCTGCCGATTCGTACACCTCCTGCTGAACAGGGGAAGGAAAATGCAGAAAGCTCATCTTCATCTGTCACTTGGCGACATGTCAGCCCTGCTGCTGCCGCAGCCTGTCCTCTTGAGTACCATGCTACGTGGAAGAAACAAGGTATGTGGTCATCATCCATCATCCCGACCTCTATGCGCACCAATGGAACAGCGGGTCCACCGAAGCCACGAGCCTGCATCCCCCGAACCAGGCACTGCCTAGCTCACCACAACAGCAGCAATGCTCCTGCCTGCATGGCTCCAGACCGCGGTGGTCATAAGTGCGAACTTAAGATAAGCTTGCTATTGCTATGCTTACTGCCTGCGATGCTGAGGTGACAAGAACTGGTACGGAGTGATTTATCGGATTTGGGTCTTGAGGAGAGGGGTTTGGGAGCCGTGGGTTTAGGAATCAATCCAAGGCACTCTTACTTGCAAACATCAGAGCCCACCATGGCGACGGCATTCCCTCACTGAAGTATCTGGAGTAGCCCAGCACTGACGCTAGGTACGTGAATCCATGTGCACCCCCTGTAACCAAAAGATCCTCACGGAGGATGAGACATCAACACTGCGCGTTTTGACATCGAACACTTCCACTACCTGCCTCACAGCAGCTGCCTTGGGCAGGTGCTGATTGCAGGCCGCAATGCTGCTCAGAGGCCATGTACCACTAGCCACCAGGTGCTTCCGGCAAGAATGCACGGCCTGCGTGTACTGATGTGTAACGCATGGCCTTCCATCGATTCAATCGATCCAGCGAAGAACTAGTCTCGCAGCAGGTCTTCTGCCCACGGAGGACCAGGCAAAGGCATTCAAGTTAAAGTGCCACAGGCACATTGCGGACTAGCAAAGCACCACCTCATCGGCGGCCGGATCCGAACTGAAGTCCCGATGTTCTCTGCCTTGATATGTGGCAAGCTGGCAAACAAAAGTCGAGGAGCATCTGCAACACATCGGCCAGTACATAAATTCCTTATTAGAGACTACATGTGTATTAGGGACTAGGCTAAATTACAAGAAGGATTTTTATGTGCAGATGTGGAGTGAATGGATATCGACTCTCTCATGCGAAGTTGAAAGTAATCGGTCACAGGAGGGCCTGAGGAGTTACAAGTCCTTGTCGAATGACCGCTGAGCCTGGGGGGACTAAAGTCTAAGGTTGAAACCATGGGCAGATGGTATGGGCCCTTAAGCCTGGGTTCCTTTGCATACCTACTATATGACTACATACCCTATATGTACCGTAAAGGGTCCCTAGAATCCTCCTGAGAGGACTCAGGGCCCAAGAAAAAGTATTCATCGGGAAGCTATTGGCTAAAATGCCACTGCCGCGGCTTCTCCCTGTTTTGTAAGTTCCATTGTAATAAGGGGCGTGGGGTCCCAATAGAGAGCCCCCCAAAAAATGATTCTTAACATGGGACTACTACCAAAAAAGGGATTTGGAAACACTCATCATCTACTTTAAGCACTACAATATGATATGAGGCACGCCGCAACTTGCCCCAAGGATTGCTATCCAGTAACTCTGCCTGCCCTTAAAAATTCTCGAGACACCCAAATTCAACTCAAAACAAACTTGGATTGGTAGTTTCCATAGATTTAGGACCCCAATGTACCCCCCGAAAGGGGTACCCCACTTATCTCCGGACTCAACAGCCGAGCCCGGGCACTCCATATAGCCCGCCGATGCATCCTAAGCTGGGCAATGAAGACATTAGGGTTTAGGGTTTAGGCGCCCCATGGGGATGTGGGAACATCTTGGGGGTCCAAAGGGATAAGAGAATTGAAAATGGAAACTACTACATTAATTAAAATAGGACCCCAAAAACACTTACTGGGGGTAAGTAGGGAATAGAATAATATAGTAGATAGGGAGTATATAGGCATTCTTTTGCCTTGTTCCCTATTAAGCACCAGCAAGAACATGGCTGGAGACCGGAGATGTGTTGTGCACTAAAAAGCTGGGCGCCGATCCAGCACTTGCCAACCTCAGTATGTGCGGGAGACATCAAGACAACCAGCATAACCCTGATACACATCTCCGCTTTGCGTCGCATCAGGTTGAATGCACATTGGGCATGTTCTTCGGCTTTGCATTGGATGTCAAGGATATCACCAACAGAGAAGGTTAAAGAATTCCGGCGTGCTTGGGTACAAGAAGCAAGCTACAAGAATGGAATTCTCCAAGCCCTCAGTTGACAACATGGCTTAACGGCAAGCTTTTGGCTGGACACAAAGAACCGGCTCATAGAACGCACGTTCCTTTCAGCAAGTGTGCCAAGTGCATATACCCATGCAGCTTTCAGCATCTGGTGTAGCTTTACACATAGCACGAGCCGAATTCGTGATAGCTTCGAATGCCCAGAAAGAGTGCTTTGCGACATTTTCTCTAGCAGCTAACATAGGGATGAGCAAGTCCATCATCCTCATTTCTGGCATCCTGTACATGCTCCGAAGCCCTAAACCCTAACCACCTGTAACCCTAAACCCTAACCACCCTTAGCCACCTGCACCCTAAACCCTAAACCCTAAGCCCTGTGTAAACCCTAAACCCCAAGCCATAAACCCTAAACCACCCTTTTACCCTAAGCCCTAAACCCTAAGCCCTAAGCCTTAAACCCTAAGCCATAAACCCTGACCACCCTTTACCCCAAGCCCTAAACAGCACCTCTGGGAGCTAAGCTCTGCCACGAAAGGTCTCGTTGAGAGCCCACCTGGCTTCACCAGACTACTTTATGGATAGTATACTATAGTATATTATAGTACATTATAGCATGATATAGTATATTATAGTATGTTACAGTATACTTTATGGATATATAGTCCCCAGAATTAGAGAAAAGAAAATGGAAGCTACTTTTGGTTTAGGGTTTTGGGTTTGTATTCGGGTTATAGTCCCCCTTAAGTAGATAGAATATGATATATGGGGATCTTATTATAATATACCTGAAACCATATTCTATCTACTTAAGGAGTACTTTATGGATATATATTGGGTCATTCCCCCTCCCAGTAACTGTCCTTAAAGGGGCCTTATTAAGGGGGTTCTTATAACTCCTATAACCCATTGTGGTAACAGTTACCGTAAGCAGGATATATATATATATACCAGGAGGACCCCCCACCCTGTAATAGTGATATAATAGGAATATGAGAGGACCATAATGTAGCTACTATTATTCTTTGTAGTCACTATTACAGGGTGGGGGGTCCACCTTTTTTTGCTGCTGGGCTTGTTCAATCGCCAGCGTCTTGGCCGATGCCAAGATATACATTTAAACACAGACAATATATGTATATTATATATATATATATCCGGTTTGGAGTTTAGGGTCCAAATAATGTAGAGGGTCTACTTTATGGTTTAGGGGTAATACCAACAATAGAGAATCCAATGGTCAAAAATGCCATAGTCTGAACTCCTAGCATCCTCCTTAAGAACCCCTATAATCGTCCCCTATACAATCCCCTATATAACCCCTCTTTGTAGAGTTTAGTGCTGTCACCTGAGCATGACCAGAATTACCAGGTCGCCACACCTCGGCTCAACGCTACACAAATTGCAAATCGCATATGAGCCATAGTCTAAACTCCTAGTATCCCCCTAAATAACCCCGAAAGTAGTCCCTTATAAAATCCCCTCTAAAACCCGCTTAAAGGAGTTTAGACTATAGATCATATGGCATCTGCAAGACTAAGCTCGGCTCCTCTGGACGACCCAGGCTGGGCTCCTGCTACATCAGGTTGGTTGGGGACTTAATATAGGGGTCAATATAGGGATCTTATTGGGGCTATTATAGGGATGATGGGAAAGAAAATGGAAACTGTAGTATATTGGGGTTATATTGCAGGTCCAGCGCCCCCATCAGGCAGAATAGGCCTGGTTGTGCAGAACGTCATCGTCCCAGCATCCGCAGGTCCTCCCAAGACGTTTGAACTTGGTTTTGCGCAGCTTTGTCATTTCTCTGATTTCTCTGTCACAAGTCTGCAGGCATGCAACATGCCGTCCTGCCGATGCCGCCCATCCACTTTCCAAGCCGTCCCTGCATTCACGCCATGTATGGGCAAATGAATGTTGAAGAAGAACGGTTTCCTTCATCCTTCCACAACTGTTGGGCTTTTGCACAATTTTATCCGAAAACATGCGGCTGGCATAGACATGCCTTCTCGCCAGAGTTGGTCATTATCGAGCCATGCATTCGTCACCAGCTGTCGGACACTCACGGGTCATGCAATTCTCATCAGCATATGAATGCCCTCAGGGCTCTCGAAAGGCTCAGAGATTTCGCCCAATGCCAACGAGAAAGCAACCTCCTGTCGTCAGACTTTTTGAGAATCTCGGAAAAACTTCCAGTGCCAGCACCTCACACTTCCTTGCCTCCACTTCCGCTGGTAGATGGCCTGGGGCGACCTTCCCTAAATCTCCACCATTCTGCACATCGGCCGCGCTGTCCGATTGCTCCCTGCACGGTCACACGAAGAGCTAAGTGCTTCACCAAGGCTAAGAGGCCCTAACAGGTCTGGTCTGGCCTTGCAAAGCTTGCAAACGCACGCTGTTGAGCGGACATGCCCGTGCTCAGGGCCAACCTTGTTACATAGGAGCTCCTACACCTCCAAGGAAGTGTGCCTTTAACTCCACAAATTGCCAAAGCAGAACCACCTGAGGTCCGGGGCTTTTTCCGGATGTTGCCCACGGCCAACTTGGCACGGCCCTTTGTCACCTGCAAGAAATGAAGAGCTAAGCACGTTACAACAACACCTGCAATCGGGACAGCCTTGACTTCCTGGCCATTGGCATCCTTTGGCTCCTTGCTCCCGCTGTGCTTCTTGATGATGTGCAGTACTTGGACCTGCTGCATGAGATCCTCCTAAACGGTCTGCTCAAATCCTTCTTCTGATGTATATCCCGATCTATTCATATGGCCCTATGTAACCCTGTCTATGCCTCCATAACCGCATGTGACTCTCTATGTCGCTGTATACCCCTAAATAGGCCCTACGCTTTCCCCTTTTTGCATCTGGGCTTGCACGCAGCCAGATACCCTAACCCTGACTTCAAACCTAAACCCTAAACCCTTGAACCCCTAGACCCTAAACCCCTTTTTCCCCCAAACCCTTAACACCTAAACCCCTAGACCCCTGAACCCCTAAACCCTAAGCTCCTCGCCTCCACCGGTTGGTCTGCTGCCTTGCGGCGCTTCGCTGCGCGGTCGCCGAGGCCTGGCCCTGCCAGGTCCTGCCATAGCAGCAGCAGCAGCAGCAGCAGCAGCAGAAGCAGTGGTAAGACTTCATGAACATCATTATCGTAGCAATGATTAAAATACCAATACTCGCAATATTTGTAATGTTAAAAAAATACTCGGAATATGAATAATTGTAAAGGTAAGGGTGATGTAACAGTACTGTTTACAGGTTCAGGCTTTTACTTGCGCAGGCGTGTTTGTAGACTTGTTCTTTCGCGCCGGCCTTTGTGCGCAAGATGATATAGGTCAGGCTTGCGGGCTTATATAAGACTACTGCAGCACTGGGTTTTGGGAAGGTTCAGGATCCGTGCTTTGGATGACATGGGATGTGTGAGAAGTGGCAACACCAGCAAGAAATAAATCCAAAAACATATATATATAAATTGAAATGGTGAACTTTTTCGGCAAGCCTTCCCTGAATCCTAAGTTCTGATGTGAATCATGCAAAAATTTCAATTTCTGGTCATGAGTGACCCTTCCCTGCCCTGCCTATGAAATGCCTCCGTGAAGGCATTCAATACTTCTACTACTGAATACTTCATTATGGCAGTTATTCCGACACTCAGTTTTCTCAAGAAGCATGCTACTGAAAAAGAGGCGGAGACAACATCTAGGCACTAGCGAAGAACGGAAGGCCTCGCTGATCGCGACATTTGCTGACCCCTTGATTTCCTTAGTTCCGCCGGCCATGTCCGACGGCACAGTCACGTATAGATATACGAACCTGTAGATCCGTTCTTAGACCCTCCCGCCGAGAATAATGACACCACCCTAGCTCTGTTTGATGTAGGAATGCATTCTCTGCTGTTCACAATCTACAACCTGACAGCGCCAGCAATGCAGCATAGGGTCGCCACAATCATCCACAACAGCAGCAACTGAAGGCACACCGTTTTCTTGCCCACAACTTTCTATGCGCCTGCATGCTGATAAGCTACAAAATCACCACAATATGACGCGCGACAAAATCATCTAGCATCTTCTATGTGTTATGCGTCGCAGTTGCTTCCCTGAGCTTGGGCCTTGCAATATCCATTCCATCAATGACCCGACCGAACACGCAGTGCTTGCCGTCCAAGTGGGGGCACGCCTGCAATGCTGCATGGAACAAATCCAGGAAAAAGTCTCTGAGCATTTCGAACACCCCGCCTTCATGCAAATAAAGAACTGCGAAGCATTCGTGTCCTGCCATAAAGCAAAACACATGATTTTTGGCACGTCAAGACTGCCAGGCCACAAAACGCACATCAGCGGCCACGGTGCACTTGCAGTTCAGAAATCCAATGCATTACGCAGATCCCCCTTGCTGCAAATTGCATCCCAAGCCTTGCCACTGTTGGCCATGCTCAGGATTCCCGGAGCTGTGTGCTTCAGGTTCCTGGCAACGCAAAGGCAACGCACAAGGAAAGATTGGTGGTGTGTTGATGCCGGAGGCACAAATTTTCATCAGGGAAGGTTGGGCCGTACACGGACTCCCCGCCAGTACCATCACCTCATATCATCAGTTGATACGCGGTTCTGTGTTAATACCAACCATGTTGCAGATTGATCACGTTCTTTCTGAGAAGGGATCCGTGCGTGAAGTCCCCAGTTTGGATCACAAAATTCGGCACCACGCGATGGAACTTGACACCTGCCCACATTGCTGACACTGCACAACCACGCCACAACATTCGTTGCCATTCCGGCAATTGTCGCTGAAACACGAACAAAACCAACAATTAACATGCATGTGGCATCGTAACAATCGACTGGTGACAGGCCCAAACGCGCGCAAACACAAATCCACGAGCCTTTGTAATGGAGGGCTTTGCCTGCGGAACTAACGAATCGCTCTGTATCTTCATGCTTTGACATCCAAAAACTGTGGCGGGCCTCGCTTGCCAATCCCTCTGCTGCCGGTGCACAGAAGACCTTCTGATACTGGCACTTTTTGCAACGTAATGAATTGAAATTGTTTGGCATTTCCGATACTTGTCCAACAACTGCATCTACATGCTGCCGAAGATGCGGAAATTCTCTGCTGTCCGTGGCACCACATCATTGAACAGTTCGCACACCTCGTTCTACTGAGGACTACGCATCTCTGCGCTGACATGCTCACGAAGAATCTCATCAGTTTGGCTTAGTCTGAACGAACATACAATGGCAGACAAAGCACGATGCGACCAACTGGCGTCGCGTTAATGGCGATGTCCAAATACACTCGCGGTCTGTTCGGTGCGTAATCGGGAACGACCTAACATCAACAGGCATGAAACACAACATGCACCAGCAATGGACTGAGAGCTCTGATACAGCGGATATCCTTCTTCAGCCCACGCAGCATCGGTGCGGCCACGATGTTTTGTGAACGATGCACCGATGTCCTTACAACGCAAGACCCTTTGTCGTATGCTGGGTGTGTTTCCATGTTTGCACATTCTTGCGCAGCATTGCCGTTAAGGTGCTGCAATTAGTTTTCTCGGAACTTGGCAATTGGACCAGACGTGACAACATGAATTGTTTTATTGTCAAAAATGAGCACAGAAACAGTTCCCGCAACCAAAACCGTGGCACCCCACCTCAGTCGCAGAATACATCAGAGTTGAATTTTACAATTCTACAATTCTACAATTCTACTGTTTGCAACAACCTTGCTGTACCTCCCCGCACAGCAAGCGTGCATGCCCATCTTCGGCCAGCTGCCCTGGGAGCGTGGGTCTTATGGTGGGCCATGCATGGCAGAACTCTTCGCCGTGGCCACCCAGAGCGGTTATGATTGCGCCAACTCCTTGCTGGAAATGTTTTTCGTCTGCGGGTGCAACGGTGAAAGCTGCTCCTAAGCTCCAGAAACTCCTCGCGGACCCACACAGGCGTGCTCGGGCAACGGCAACCTGTGCGTGCCTCCTCCTCTGCGCATGCCGTGCATGCGACCCTCGCTAATAATGACGCAGCAAAAAATGCAGCCAAAAAATGTCTGCGAAACGGAGTGCGATCGGTTAGGTTTTGTCCTACGAACATGACAATGTTTCCCGTTTGCAAAATGTCGGAAAAAAAGGCAACAGGCCGATGCGGGGGATAAGACTTTATTCCAGCCGGTGGCCTGTGTGGCCGGCAGCCAGCGCAGCGGCCAGCGCGGCGGCCATGAATGAACCGGACAAGCCAACGGAAAAGCATGAACGAATATTCGATCCCAGCGCAAGGGGACGCAAAAGTTGGGATAGGAAAATTTAGGGAAACAAATATACTGCTACAATATGTGACCACGAATTGTAAGGCGAGCAGCCCAAGTATGCATAGCAACCAACGGTACACAGCGGACTGCGGCCAGTCTGCTCATGTCATTGCATGACTCACTTGCCACACGCTGCCGAATGGCATCGGAAATGGCAGCCGCGGCGCACATGGCCGGAACGACGTACTTTGGGATGGGCAGTTTGCAAGTTCAGGCCGAACAAGTTTGACCATGATGTGAGGTGGACACCCCACGTCGTCTCCTCCACGAACATCCAGCCCCTCACGGGTTGGTCGCGACGCCTAGCGCCCGCGTTTTTGCCCTCGGATCCGTTGAGCTCCCAATTGCCGTCGAGTGCTATTTGGGTTATTGGCAACGCGGACCGTGCCCCTGGACGTATTGTTTGCTTGGCCGACATTGTTCGTTTCATATCTGAAGCCGCACCCAGTCGCTGCAGGCAGCTCATGCCAATGCCAGTTGCATCCCCCCCATGTAGATGCAGACCCAGCTTTATAGTAATGCTGGATTTTGTAGCCTTGAGGTCCCCTGTTGTTTGTTTTGGGGCCTTATTCAGGATCAAGGTAATGATTGTGATGTCCCTTGTAATGTAGGAAAATCCGGACCATCCCTTCAAGTCAATCCACGGGGATCGCAGAACCGTGGGAGGCTGAGAGCCCTTATTGAAAGATATTCTTTTCTGTTTTTCCGGAAACTCGATTGGCAAGGGGGTCAGAATAAAGCAGGCCCCCACATCATCACCTACCGCACCTGTCAGATTCTGGTTATTCTCGCACTTGTGCTGCAGCGTGCAATCAAGTATACTTTCTGCGCAACATCCCGCCAGAAGTAATGCAACCGGAGGCTCACGACCGTGCGGTGTACACCCATTTGCGGGCTGGCTTGCGGGACAAAATCGACATAGCAGCGAGGTCGACATTCGGGAGGACCACATGCTCGTGCCCACGCAACGGTCATGTGGCCATAAGTGGCCACATTCCATGAACTTGTCGGCGGGTTGCGGCCCAGTGTTTGATAAAAACCTCACGAAACAAACCCATCGCTCACCGCAAGAAGGGTGGGCGACCAACGGAAGACAGAGGGCCGGCACCTTCATGTATCTGAGGCATGTATACAGCATGTGCATGCACTTGACTGGAAATGTGTAGTTTTGGGTTTATATGTATTCTTGTGCGCGACAACAATGTGATGGGCCATTGTTATTCAAATGGTGCATGGCGGTCATTTTCATTGTGACCGTGGCCCACGATGTGGTAGTTGCCAGCCACGCCACACCCCGGGCCTTTTTGGATGCACGAGATTTCCGCAAATATTGGGCGCCTCCGCTGAGTAGCCCAGCAGGCCCGCATTGTTTGCGCCCATTGAAGGTCGGCCCAATGGCGTTGACCCCTCCGCCAAATGCCGTAGGCTGCCCTATGGAGCGTTGCTTGCCGTCACGCCAGCCCATGCCGGCTACACACCGCATATCGGTCTGTGTTGTAATGATGGCAACGAAGCATTTGACGCGCAAAGGCGCTCCTCATTGAGCCCTTTCATGGTGCATTGTTAGTGAATTGCGGCACGCTACTTCCATTTCTGCTGTGGAACTGGGTGGAAGGTCCAAGCCTTTCTCGACACAGGTGGGTGCTGTTCAGGGTCGTAAATTCTTACCAGAGGAGTTTTGCATCAGCCACCGGGTCCCAGAAAAGCACGAAGCACACAAACAAGCATTGGCTAGGGGTTGGTGTCAATCCACTCGCTTCTGCTGTAGAGGGGTTTTATGGGCACAAAAATAAAAGTGGCAACGTAGCAGACTCGTGGTTTGAAGGCGGCACAGCTCAAGACTGGTGGCCTTGTAGTGTAGTCCGGACCGGACCAAAACCCTTCATGCAGGCATAAAAGTCCGCAGAAAAAAAATAAATTAATGAACAATTTTCCGTTGGGCCCCTGACACTGTCAGGGCGCGCGACTTTGCCAACCTTCGGAGCTTCAACTGCTCCTCAGCGCGGTTGGCGGCGTTTTGCATGGTGCGGCGGCGGCGGAGATACTTTCCCTCTATTGATGACTGACAAGAAAAAGGGCATTGGCATGCATTGGCAATGCTCCTTAGCCAGCATCCCCAAGCTTGGAATTGTATGGGCCATGCCCGGGGCTTGACAAGCTTCTTGCAAAACAGAATGGAAGTTCCCCTGGCCGTGCTTCAGGACCATACCCTTGGCCACAATATTTCTGGTAATCGGGCCGCTGCTGGGGGTTTATTTCCACCTGTCCTTGTCACAAAGCCGGTGCCGGGCACATGGATGTTTTTCTTTGTGTAGATTTGTTTTTCGCGCCCTTTTGCGACGGTCAGTCGCGGTCCCGGTGACGGCTGTTACTTCGGGGGTCGTCCTCCCCACAGACCTGCGGCGGGGCACCATCACCTCGGAGATCCCAAGGGGCAACCTGGTGCGCCGTGCGACCTTGCATCAGCCAGCAGTTCGCTCCCCGTCAGCGTTGCACACGCCAGCGAGTGGGAGCTCGAAGAGCGAGCTGGCATATGAGCTAAAGCCAGCAACGCTGATCAGCGCGCGACCCAAGCGGACCTTGGCGAATTGGCTTGGTGGGGGCTTAGCGATTGAAACATGTTTGCCGCTTCAGTGCCGAGGCGCCCACCGACCTCAACCCCGACAATTACTAGCCGGTTGCGTCTTGCTTCGGTTAGTTCAAGGTAGGTGTTGTTGCGTTTGCGGCGCCTGAAGCCTGCCCCGGGCTGCGCCTCCCCGGCGCGGGTGATTGGGTTGACTATGGTGGCATCAGGCGCCTCTTGACTACAAAAGCAGCCCGTTGACAACGATGCGGCGAGCATCTTGGGCATGGATCAAAAGATCGAACTATAGCGAACGAAGGCCCCATTCCCAAGGCCGGGGCCGGGGCCATCATGGCAAAGAAGAAGCCAAGGTGCACAAAGGCCTGCCACACCTGAGCTAAAATCACAACCTTCTTATTTTGAAAAAACAGAAGCTTTCAGAAGCAAGGTTTGGCGGAAGCAACGTGTTGTGTTTGGTAAGGTGTCCTAAGCAATTTTGTGGCAACGTTGTTGCCGTAAGCGTCGTAGGCCGTTGTTTTTGTTGGTGTTGTTTGTCATTGCAGTTGCAGCAGCTGCAACAAGCCGGCGCAAGCAGCGTAAGCAGAAACAACAACAAAGTCATGTCGTAAACAAAAAATTTGGAAAGCCCTAAGCCACCGTAAGCATTTTTTTCCGAAATAAGATAGGATTAGGGTTTTGGGAACCGCTCACTTGGCTTTCAGCAACATACTGTTTGTCGTTGTTTCAACGGTCATATTAAATGCGGACGGTGAAGATCATGAAACATTGTCATGAGGACCAGGAAGGTCTGTGTAGAAGTCTGTGCATCAGCATCTTTGGGGCTCAAGCGGACAGCTTCTCCCACACCGAGCCACACCAATTGCTCGTGCTTGGCTCACAGACACGATTCAGCCTGTTGGACGTGTGGGCCTTCGGATGTGAGTGAGGCACCATGGGCGAGGAAGACATCCACCGTCACCTGGAGAAATTGTCTACGGAGATGGTGGAGTGGGTACTGAATTAGAAGCTTCGAGGCTGCAAGTTGGCAACGCAAGTCTGAATGCGAAGATTTCTGCTGCAACTTTGACCAGGCCTCCGGCAAGGCGAAAACCGCTTTGCTCCACAATGCATGCTATGCGCAGTGGGCTCAGATTTGTGTCACAGGCCTGTTTTGATCATTGTAATTGTCCACTCGGCAAGGTTGGAGACCAGCCACGGAACCGGAGGCACAACGCTCGGCAAAGCTTGGGTCACCACCCACGAACATTTGAGGGGAGGGCACCCATCCTTGAGGTCGTGACTGTGGTTGGCGTCGGATCCCTTGTTTCAGAGGCATGCCTCACCGCTTTCATGAAAGTTTTCGCCGCTTTTGACAACAGACATTTACGATATCACCACACAAGCTGTTCCAGGATTCCGCACGCGAATCTTTTGATTTCACTAATTTCCGCATCGGCCAGGCCAGGTCGAGTCTGCACTTCATGACTTTCACTACAGCTGGAGTAAGCTTAGCCCAACAACGCCCGTTTCGCACATGCATTTGAGCTTCAGTTCCCGGAAGGTGAAAGGTTGGCAGCGTTCATTTTGCCAAGCAAACTGGGTAAACCTCGTGCAGAGCGCTGAGATATGCTGAGATGCACTGT